TGCCCAGGGGTCTGTCCCCAGAGCGGGACTGCAAATCGTCCAACAGGACACCAATGACTGTACCGGGGGCGTCTTCCTCGTACGTGTGGTACCTGACCATCTCAGCCAGGCACCCTGCGACCAGGAGACACAGCAGCACAGAGCTTAGTCCCGCTCTGGACAATGTGAGACCAGGAGACATAGCCTCTGAGATCCTACCACGCAGTCCTCAAAAAAGCCACTGGCACTTTGTGTTGTAGAAGCTTTAAAGATGCCAGATTAGAAACAGACCAAAAGCCCCCACTCCTGAATGCACAGACTGATCACTGCCCCCCGTTTAAACACATCCCGGCCATCAGAACCTCTCCACTGTGTAATTGGTGCCAGGAGTCTTTAAGTAGCTGTGCGTGCCCCAGGCTACAGCTTGCCTTTTTGCTCTCTGCGCCCTTCCCCAGAGGTTATATAGATAAGGGTATGCAAATCAGCATCTTCCCTGACCAATCCTCTGATCCCTGGGGACACCAGTGTCATAGTGTCCCCTGCATGGACTCAGTAAGACATTCCGCCAAGAAACGAACAATCTGTCAATTACACATGTGCAAACACATTGCTCCGTTCTCTAGCAAACTTGGCGACTAAAAAGCAACAGAGGGTCCTGTGGCACCTTTAAGACTAAGGTGCCACAGGACCCTCTGTTGCTTTTTATAGATTCAGACTAACACGGCTACCCCTCTGATACTTGGCGACTAAAGTTTTCCCACTAACTTGCGCTTCAGTTGTACAAAAGCCGAGGACTTTCCCCTATAATACATTTAAGAATGTGCTTATACAAACACTGTATTAAAAAACCAAACACATACATCTGTAGAAATAAAGCGGGATGGCGCGGTAGGCGGAAGCTAGGGGGAAGAATGATGATGACAGGAATTCCCACATTAGCAGTTACTTGTGGTGTATCCATGTAGGCAACATAATTAGTCCTTACGATATTTTTATGAGTTAAAGAATATGAATTAACACTGTCCTTTTCTTCCACCTCGCTTAATATTCATCAGGGCTGATAAGTGAGAAACCCCTGGGATTAATCCTTCAAGAGACCAGGCAGGAAGCCCACCAACTCTTAGTCCCAATACTGTCTCCTTAGGTGGTGGAAGAGAGAAGCGAGGAGGTTTCCAGTGGTGTTTTGGGTGTATGGTTTATGATTAAGATGTGAGTGTATGCGCGTGCGCACGCCCATAAAAATATTGCCAAGAGAATATTTATGTTAAAAGTCCTTGCACGGAGGAAGCTGCGAGTGGTTTGAAAAGTGGGAGGCTCAAAGGGGATGAAACCATCTGCCCAAATGCCGGGTGGCAACAAATCGTTAGGTGTCAAGTTCCCTGACTGTGCCAAAGTGTCACCTTGTTGACAGTTCTAACCATTGTTTACAAAGTGGTGATGAAAAAGTGTATGGTTTTCTGATGTATATTAGCATCGCTGCACTTCACTATTGTCCTGCTCCTCGAGAAATGATTCTTCTTCCATGCACACTAAAAAACAAAACAAAAGGTAATTTATCAACTGTGCTAAAGAGATCAATGAAGTCCAAAAATCCGGTAGAAATTTCAAATAAATAATTGAAATCCAAGAATTCTTTTGTGTCTAAGGTTGGTTGATTTTGTGTATGTATGTGGGAGACGGTTACTTTGGGGGTTTTCTTCTTGTATATTTTCGATCAGATCAATACTGTCAACATTATTTTTGAACCCTCTTTTTATAGGAATAATGAATATTCCTTTTCTACTGTAAGTTCCATGCCATGCATCTCTCATCGGCTGATGATCTGAATGTTCAATGTTTTTCTTACATCTTACAGAACATTAAATTCTACTAACCCACTATTGACCCAAGTACTATAGTTTCATTTTCAAGATATGCTTTTGGTTATTATGCTTTAGCAACTAGGGGTGCCAAAGATATCAATGAGTATGACATCTTGGCCTTATTTTGCATAAATTTAGTATATCAAGCAGAAGTACATATTATTTTTTGTTAGCTGCTACTAGACCGATTTTATAATCGCACCAGTCCTCCATAATGTGTAAATGATCAGTGCATGCTTGACCTAACGAAGGGAGAGTGCTATGTTGCTTTCTGTTGGGATTTTTATGTATCAGAGGGGTAGCCGTGTTTGTTGGGATTTTGTTATTACTTATGACTACTACTATAATAAACAATCGTATTAAAAACAAAGCATTCCGTATTAACGAAGGACATTTGGAGTTGAAGGAAAGAGACATTTTCTGAGGCAAGATCAACGCTGCACCCGTTGAGTGACAGGCGAGCTAACAGAGAAACTGTATGAACTGTCCCTTTTAGGCATCTGGCTTTAGCATGCTGTGTTTACAACCCTGAGCTGCTGAAACACACACGTTACATTCTGTTAGACTTGGGTGAGGTTAAAAAAATCGATCTACGCATCAAAAGTTTTGTGGGAAAGATACGCTTGCTTTCAAGTTTGCCAGCATACACCCTGACAAAAGGTGAGTCTAGGAACCTCATGGGGACCTCTGCAGGAACTTAAAAAAAATCAAAATACAGCAAAAACAATGCTGCAGACAGGGCAAAGTGTAAGTGAATGCAGGCGAGGAAAGCAGCAATTTGTTCCTCTTGTTCAGTTTAGTAAGACCACATGATGGTGTTGGGGGGGGAGGGGAAGTCAAAACAAAACCCTTTTGCCCAGAGAGTTCACTTTTGTTTCTGAAACAAAAGCCCATGATACACTAATTTTCGCCAAATTGTTGGGGAATAAAATCCGTTAAACAGGATTTAAACCTTTGCAAGAGAAAACAAAATAACGAGACGGAAGGGGTAGTTTAAACGTAAATGGTGCCTAAACTTGGAGTGGCCAAATACGCTCTAATAGAACTGCAACGCCCACGTGGTTATCTTCTACTTGACATCATATAATAAACAGATAAGAGCTGGATTCTAACATCCTAAATCACAGTGAGTAGCAGTTTGCTCCCCGAGTCGTCTCATTTCTTCGTGTCTGCTCACAGTGTAAATTGCTACTCAAGGTGAGTAAGGGCATCAGAATCTGGCTGTGCACCCTTGTCTATACTGGGATTTCAGCCAAAAGTGGAGTAGCTGCACTGATGCAAATTCCTTAGGCTGCTATTCTCATTCCAGCCCTGTTATCTGCTCTAAAAGGCCTGGATATGGCTGGAGGGGTTCGGGGGGAGGGAAGGCTTTCCACCAGCGGAGGAACTGAGCAAGACAGCCGCAGATTGCCC